TGGAAAGGGATTGTCTGGCCCTGGCACAGCTGCCCAGGGAGGTGGTGGAGTCCCCATCCCTGGAGGGATTTAAGAGCTCTGTGGATGTGGCACTTGGGGACGGGGGTCAGTGGTGGCCTTGGCAGTGCTGGGTTGATGGTTGGACTCGATGATCTCAGGGGGCTTTTCCAACCTTAATGATTCTGTGGTGCCATTTACAGTCCTTGTTACACCTTGCTGAGCTTCATTGGGTCTCAGATATCCTGGCACTGCCCTCGGCCATTGCCCTGATGTCTGATGTCCCAGGAGGAGATGGCAGAGGGCTGCTGGAAGGGCAGGACACCCTTCCCAGGCTCCAAACCGGGACCACCACCAGCTCTTCTCGCTGGCACTGCCAAGGCAGCAGCAGAAGACACAGTGACCAGCCTGGTCCTCCCTTCCCCCACCTCCCAGCGCAGCATCCGTCAGTCCACATGACCCTCCCCCTACCAAAATTGGCTGCTTTCTTCCTTCTTCTCCCCCCACCCTCCTTTTTTTTTTTTTTTTTTTTTTGGCTGAGCGATGAGCTGTATGCCAAATCCATCTGCTCCTGTCTCCCCTAGCTGCCTTCCATATCGTTACAGGATCCCTGGCAGCGAGCCTAGACCTATCTCTCTCCCTGCACTCTTAGGAGCACATTCCTTTCTACACCTTTTCCCGAGCTGGGATAGAAATGAGTATCAACCCCAAACAAAAAGCATCTGCTTTCTGCCTGCTGCTGCCTCACCGGCCGCGCATGGGAGTTACACCCGTGTCAGCAGCGATTGCAAAACACACACAACCCCCCACCCCGCATCCAACACGGGCTGAGGGAACTCGGGGCGCCGGGAGCCTCCTCACACCCTCTCCCTCCCCATCCCTGCAGCACCAGCTGTGACCACCGCACCATTTGTTCCTCCAGCCCACGCCAGCACTCGGAGCCAGTTCTTTATCACCCCAATTAGCCTTGTCTGTGCTGATGAGAGGAGAGAGGCTCCCACTGCAAAGGCAGGGATGGGGGGAAGAAGAGCTGGCGTGTGCCGGGCACCGGGAGAGGCGATTCCCGGTGTGGTGGCTTTGTTTCCCTGCGGGGATGGGTCTCGGCGGGGCGGGGGCAGCGCTGAGAGGGCGGTGCTGTCACCCCGCCCTGCATCACCTGCGTGGGGCTGGTCTGTAAACAGCTGCCTCAGGAAGGGCAGGGGGCACCCTTTCTTGGGGTTTTCCCCCTTGGATATCCGCCAGTGGGAAGAGGAGCATCCTCAGGATGCACCAGTCCCCAGGTGTTGTAGTGGATTGTGGTCATGTCAAACACAGTTCTGGATGAGTTTGGAGATGCACCCTGGTCGTGTCCCCAGCGAGGGTCTTCTACCTGCAGTAGCTTCACAGGGGGGTGAAACAATTCCTCCTTCTCCCACTCCCTCATGACAGTGTCTCCCGTGTCAGGACACCGAGTGGTCAGTGCAGCCATCAGCCCGAAAACCTAGTTTTTTACCCCAAACAAGCCCCCTGTAGCCCTGTCTGGGATTAGTGCTTTTACACCGTATGTCCTTCAGCGCTGTAGGAACTTGCATCCCTCCTGGATTTCTCCTGGATTCATTGCTGAAGACCATTTTCTGGTGGACACCCCAGTGCCATCATCCCAAAGGCAGGAAGAGGATCCATCCCTTGCTGCAGCACCTCACTGGGAGGAAGAGGATGGACACAGTCCAAACCCAGGCCCACACTTGGTTTGAAGGGACAAAGTCACCCTGTGTGAGGTGGGACAGGTCCCATCAGTGTAGTCCCAGCAGGGTAGAACCTGCTCCTCAGAGCACCCTCCAAGGCAGGTATTCCTTGACAGGGGGGTTCCCAGCATGGCCATGGCCAGCAAGGACTTTGCTGGAGGTCTTGGAAGCTGAGACACAAAAAACCTGACAAGAAACTGTGGTGTCCAGATGTGTCTGCCAGTGGAAGGTTGGCTGAGCAGGTCTGGGGTTCTGGACAGCTGGAGTAGCAGTCTGTGCCAAAATAGGTGAAGATACACTTTCCAACAACAAAAAACCCTGAGACAGTCTAAGACTGAACTGGTGAACAATAAAGTTGTGATTTAATGTTGCCTCAATACCTGTAACCCATTGCCCGAATGCTTCTCCCTGTTCTTCTCCATTTGATTTCCCACAGTGGGAAGAGTAAGTTACTCCTGATGGATTTCTGAAGGCTTTCCCAGTTTCCTCTACCTGCCTCCTTGGTGCAGACTCACCCCTTGGAGCTCCTGAGGCTCTGGAGCAGTTTTTAATACCTGCTTTGTTAAACTCAGCCAGAAATGGCTCCAGTTCAACCAGTCACCTCCACCCTCCCCAGCAAATTTCTTTCCCATCTTCCCAGGATTTGGAAAGGGGGCTTGAGTGAGTCTGATAATTACACAGCTCCAGACCAGTGCCTGGGACTGGTTGTATCTCCTTCCAAGGTCTTCAGAGGGGTCCCTGACCAGGTGTCCATCGCGCATAAGAATCATGGAATCATTAAGGTTGGAAAAGCCCTCTGAGATCATTGAGTCCAACCATTCCCCACTGACCCACGTCCCCAAAGGCCACATCAATGTGTTTTTTGAACACTTCCAATTTAGACATTGATTTCTGTGTCCCTCTCCTCTGACTCCATAATCTCTCTCTGAACTATCCCTCTTCAATCCCATCCTTCCTAAAACCACAACGGCCTTGCTGTGGATGGAGAGCTCATCCACGCAGGGAACGAAGCCATCTCCCTCCTGGACCCGTGGGGAGGAAGCTGGAAGAGCCTCCAAGCAATTATCTCATCTGTCTCCCTCCACCGAGACAATTCTGCTTAAACTATTCTTGATGGGTTTCATCTCATTTGTGCTGAAAACTTCCCACCACAGACACCCCACACCTTCCCCAAAGCGTTTGGTTGTGATATTTTGCTCCTTCCCACTAGGATACTCTTCCTGCTGTTCAGCTTGGATCGCACTCCCTGCTTTTTGAATTGTGTCCCAAGAGAGCGTGAACAAAACATTCCTGCTTTTCTTCTCTTCCACAGCCCCTCGCACACGCAAATCCCACCACGCGCCCCTGGAACTTCTCTCTTCCAGGCTCAGCACGTCCACGTCCTCAGCACTTCCCTACAGGTCGTGCTTTCAGACCACTGGTTTGGGGTCCACCAAGGCAGATGTGGCTTTCCTTGGAGCTCCCACCTCTCCAGCCCCCGTTGGAGAGGGAGGGATTGTGGTGGCTCTCCGTGGAGACGTCCCAGTAGTAGGTTGGGGTTTGAGCTGCCCCACATCCCCAGTGGTCAGCGTTGACCACCCCACCCCCCCCAATTCCAGGCCATTTTAAAGCACTTCACATCATCATTAAGGTTGGAAAAGACTTCCAAGACCGCCCAGTCCAACCTTTGACCGAGCGCCACACCCAGTTGTTCCTTGAACCCCTCCCATGGGCCGTGACCCCACTTCCCACCTGGATATTTTCCTACCGGTGGATGAACCTACCCACCCCCCAAAGCCCGGGAGCTTTTCTGTCTGTCTCTGGAAGGAGAAATCCGACAACAATGGGAGGGAAAGCTGCGTCAGAGCCAGGCAGATCGGAGCTAATCCTGCCTCCGAACGGATCCCGCCGGTGCCGGGGGTACGTGAGAATCGCCTCTCCTGCACCTTTGCCGGGTGCTCTCCCCACCACAACGCTGCACTCCAGGTTTCAGCACAGAAAGAGATGGTGAAGTTGCTAATAATGGCACTAAAAGAAAATATGCTACATCTGTTATGGATAGCAGTACAAAATTAGCTGATCACACCTCTGACACCCAAGATGTCTTCACTTAAAATACTCGTTGGCTTACTTTACATAATTTGCTGATTATATTTAAAAGAAATACAATTTTGCAATTACTGTTCTTTCTGGTGTGCTATCTATGCATCATTTTCTTTTTATGTTTATATATTTCTCCTTCATTAGTGCAGTCTGAAGGGTGATTAGATCCCTTCAAACATTTTACAGAGGTTAAACGTTGATTAAGATTTAATTATTACTGTAAATAGCTTGGAATGACATATGGTGCAAAAACCTGACATATGTGCATTTGAATAAATGAAGTGCTATTTCCCATGATGCTTCAGTAGCTGTTTAACAGCTTTGCTGAAGGGTTATGTTGCACCTCATGTTAAGATTGCTTTGATGTTATATTTTGTTGGGTTTTTGCAGCTGAAAGCTAAGAACAGTTTTTCCAGTTTTTAAAAACATTGAATATTTTAAATACCTAAATTGTTTTGCACAAATTTTTGCTAATTTGTCTAACTAGGTTAAACATTTTCAAAAGCATTTCGATTTTTAACGTGGGTTCTTAGCATTGTGTCAGCAACAGCATCGGTTCAATGTATAGGATTTCTAAAATTCCAGGCTTTGCGAGGTGCCCTGTCCCGGCTGGGAGCGGGATCTTTTCTTGTCGTGGGAACTGGGAGCACCGTGGATTCCTCCCAGGGATGCACAGATTTGGAGTGATTTCAGAGCAAGAAAAAGCTTCATATGAAGCTGGCAAAAGGAAGAACTTGGGAAAGGACTGGAGATTTTATGGAGGCAGAGAAAGGAGTTGGTAGATTTTAGCTGTGATCCATCCCTGTTGGAGGATGGATGGAGTGGAATGAGGTTGTCCCCTCCTTGCACCACTCAGCTCTTGGTTTTTCCAGGTCCAAGCCACAGCTTTGGGGGCTGGATTCCTTACAGCACCTTGGCTGTGGGAAAAGGAAGGGTTGTCCCCTGGAAAATGGTGGGAGAGCCTGGGAGACACTATAATTCACTGAATATCTCCAGGCATCATTTCCTGTAATGCAAGTCAATCCACACAGGGTTGTTTTGAGGCTGAGCAGAGTAAAGCACATTAAAATGACACGGGGAAGGCGAGATTGGCGTGGAATAATTTCCATATCGTGCTTCTCCACGTTAATTTATTGATCTGTGGAGCTCCTGCTGCAGCACAACGCTCTGATCTCGCCTCCTCTTTGATTTTCACAGATTGAGACGTCTCGGCTGGAGCCGGAGATCGCAGTGGCCACCACCAGTAAGACTGTGATCTACAATAAAGGATTGTAAGTGGAAGAGGATCATCTCAGCCCGGAAGGTTCGGGGAGAGGGGAAAAAGGGGGAAAAACTTGAGAAGCCGACTGGGAAAAAGAAAACAACAACAACAACAACAACGAGACAAAATAATCGAGCTCAGCGATAGTAACGTTGTAGTTCTCCTGGAGAAGCGGGAGAGAATTAACGCTTGCAGAGAGCTGACACCCTCACACCGGTCAAAAAAAGATTAATATTAAAAAAGTTTTAACTTAGGCAAGAGGAGCGGCAGCAACCGCAACAAAATCACGTTCGAACACTTTAGAAGTAGCTGATGAAGAATCTCAGAATTAACAGCACCGCACGGAGTCGACGTGGTTGGACCCCACTACATGAGCGTAGACTTCACCCAGCAAGTTTTGTTTTCATTGTGAATCAAGTCTCCACACTGATGCCGCACAAAAATAACTCCCTAGGGAATTGGCGGGAATGTGAAGCGCTCGATAAGGTGTTTGGGAATTGTCCTGCATTGGTCTCCTGCTGATCCCCCCCCAGTGATCATGAGTTAAAGATTTCATGCCGAGGTCACGGCCTCTGCTCCCTTCATCCCTCCCTCCTCCTTCTGTGGACGGTCCTGGTGGCATCCTGCCCTTCATCCTGTCACTGAATCCCACCGCTGGGCATTCCACAAGGGCTTTTCCCTGGATTTCAAGATACTGGAAAGCCACCACACCCACACGCTGAGTGGGGTGGTGGGAAGGGGTCTCGTAGTAAAAATCCTGATGGATCTGCTCTTTGCCTTTGCACAGCCAGGAAGAATGGGGATTGTCCCACCTAAACTTTAAAATTAAGGTTGTTAGTCTAAGATAATTGGTTAAGCCACACTTTGTTAAGATAGTTGTCCAAGGACAGAACATGATTTAAGCCCCAAGGTGGTCAGGCAGTTGGACTAGATGATCACTACAGGTCCCTCCCAACTGGAATTCTCTTCTCTTCTCTTCTCTCTTCTCTTCTCTCCCAACCTCTCCAAACCTCTCCTTTCTCCTTTCTCCTTTCTCCTTTCTCCTTGTCCTTCTCCTTCTCCTTCACCCATCTGTCTGTCCCTTCAATGGCTCCACTTTGGGGTGATTAAAAGGGTGTGGGGCAAGTCATCCCATCACTGCACCGAGTCCCGCCCTCACGTGGATTTGGTGCCATAATTTGGCTTTCTGGTATCTTGTACCCAAAAGTAAACCCTGAGTGACTCCCTGAGGACCAGAGGGGTTCATTTTGACCATGACCACCAGCAGAAGACCATGCCAGTGGCACGATTCGCCTCCGGAATCGTGGTAGGGATGGAGCCGTGGTGGTGATGGGCATGGATGAACGGGCAGGTTGTCATCCTTCAAATGCCAATTTGTTGGGGGTTTTGGGGAGGGTGGGGGGAGCAGGGGGAACCAAATCACCACTGACACAGAATGTACTCGATGGACTTATTGCAATGCCTGGAATCGGGAGGCCTGAGCCCTGCTGTGTGTCCTCCACCACGGGCTGCTCTCGCTCCCGGCCGGAGTCAGATCTGTAGGAACTGGAGCCACACACAGTGGGGCCAGCTCAGGAAAACTGATTCTGTCCCTGCACTGGTGTAAATCAGGAATAATTGCACAAAACAAATCGATGTTGTGGATTTGCACACCAGCGTGAGGGGAGGAGGGGCCAGCCTGGGCTCCCCGTATCTGCTATTCATGGGACAGCTCCCGGGCCCTGACACTGATGGATCCAGATCCACTCCTGGAGCTATTCTGGATTTACACCAGGGCAAGGCACAGCTGGATTTGAGCCAGCAGAATTCCTTTAATGCACTAGATGAGATGAATGTACGCTCTGGAGGACGTGAGGCCGCTCCATCTCCTCCGGGTAGGATTGAGAGGCTGCAGGGAGGTGGCAGCTCTCCCATGGACATTTTCATGAGCAGCTGTCCTATGGGCAGCACCGTGCAGGATCAGGGCCTGGATTTTGGCCTGGGACTGGATAACTCCCTGCAGCACTGAAAGAGGAAGCCCTGGGAAGGGGAGCAGGGATGCTGGCATTCCCAAAGAGCAGCCTACTTATGGGAATGGCAGTGGTAAGGCTTTGGGGAGCCAGCTGGAATGAGCTGTGCACCTGAAATGGGCCCCTTCCATTGCTGCAGAGGGTGGGAGGGGGTGAGAACCACTGTGGGATGCCGGGGGTGCAGGTACCCCCTTGCACACACATCCATGTGTGCAGGAAAAAGCTACTCTGAAAAACTCCAGTTTACGGCTCTGTGGAGCCCTGGGAAATGGGAAGCCAAACCTCATCGTGCTGCACAGAGGCACAACTTGCTGCCTTCCTCCTCCTGAATGGAAATGCAAGGCTGAGACAGAAACAGCCTCTTGTGTTGACAGGGAGAAGCCTCCTGGCTCCCGAGTCTGTCTGGGTGGATCGTTTCCCCTTTCCCGGTGGGTTTTGTCGCTGCCTGAACCATTCTGCTGCCTGTTCATCCCAGGCTTTTGTTTTGAGGAGGGGGAAGGAAGGAGACGTGGAGACTGTGCATTGCCATGAGGTTTCAGAGAGGTGGAGCAAGGAGGGAGGTGCTGATTTGGTTTTGCATCGTGATCAACAATCAAAGATTTCGGTGGCTGTGAGCTCCAGCCACCTGCTGGGTCTGCAGCTGGAGCGAGGAATTTCCAGTGGGGGAAAGGAATCAGGGCTTTGCTGTGTGTGTTTCTTTAGGAGACACTCGAGGAAAAGCATGGACCGAGCAAGTTCTGCCTCAGGAAAGAGCCAGTTCCCGATTTTCCCCATGATGGGAAGCGAGTATGGATGTTTTCCCTGCACATGCATCACCTGTGGGTCGTTAATTAGCAGGGGATGCTCATCATGTTAATCCAGTGATTACCAATAAGGGCTGAATCAGTTTGGAGGAGAGACTCAGGATTTATTAAGCCAGGCAGCTCCAGTGAATCAGGAGGGCCTGATCCTGCCGGAGGGGGTGAGGACCAGCTTGAGGGATGTCAGAGGAGCTGTGCTGTGAGATTGTGGCTCGGCTCAAAGGCAGCTGCACCGTCAAACAAGTGCCAATCAAACGGTCTAAATGAGTCTGGATCGATCGTCTGCCCGTGCAAACCCCGTCAAACTTGTTTCTCTTCATGTGTCAGGGAGATGGGTCTCAGTCAACTCGGCAGAGTTTGTGCTGAGAAATCATCACATCCCAGGGCCTGACTCAGACATTCCCCAGGGGTTACCTCCGAGAGCCTCTGGCGGGTTGGTGACGGCGTTTGCTCCCGAATTTTGTTCAAATGACACTTGAAATGTTGTAGCCCACCCCCAGCCCCCCAAGCACTGGGGAGATGCTCCTGCTGGGAGGTCGGAGAACCACCACGTCCTGGGGCTCAGCTCGCTTTTCTAATCTCTGAAAGCACAAAATAGTGGAATCATGGAATGGTTTGAGTTGGAAGGGACCTTAAAACTCATTCAGGGCAGAGACACCTTCCCCTAGACCAGGTTGCTCTGAGCCCCATCTGCACGTCTTGTGTGGCGTGGTAGCACTTTAATCAACAGTACTGATGAGGTTGGAGACCCCAGGCCTTGTCCTCGTGTTCCATGTGCATCCCCTTCCTCTGGACAATCGGGATGGTGCAGACCCCTCTGTGCTGCCCTTGCCCTCGCTGTCCCCAGCTTGGTGACAAGCAGGACGAGGTGCTTGTGTGAGGAGCATGTTTTGGTGGCCCTGTGGTCCCAAACTCTTGGGCAACCAAGAGTCCTTTGTCATCCCAGCACGGGGACACCAAGGCTGTGTTGTCCCCAGCTGGGACACTGAACTGACGTGGTTTAGATATCCAGGATGTGTCGAGATGTAATTTTATTCAAAAGCAGCAGAAAGGCTCAGCAGACCCAAATCTGGCCCCTGTGGATCTTGAAAGACCATTTCGCTCGCAGGCAGCTCAAGTTTGGGCCCCCTCATGCGGAAATCCCAGCACTGGATCATCCGGGTTCCTGCCATCACGGTGGGACTGCTGGTCCAAAATACCACGCTCGACTCTTCAAACGGCACTAGGGATGAAAACTATGGAGCTGGGAAAGCAGTAGCACATTAGTACTGTTTATTAGGACAGCAAATTGTGCCAGGAAAGACTACACACAACAGCTAATGATAACATTATGCACATTCACTTAGTAGCTAATTAATCTCTTCGACTTTTCCTAATGTACAAAACGGAGCCTTCGGTTTGCGAGAACAACCCCAACCGTTTCCATCCCTGATTTCCTGTAATTGGGGGAGTGGAAGGAACAGGGAGCGCAGAACCCACTGCACACATCAAGTTGTTCACCTCGGCAGATAATAATAATGAGGCGATCATCTCCTGTAGTATTTAATTAGAAATGTCGCACTTAATTGATTTCTTGGATATGTTAATTAAGAAATAATGAGGACCAGGTTGCAGCGAAAGGTGCCAGCGAGAAGTTTGGAGCCTCTCCTGGAAGACGTGTCTGTTGGCTGCTCCCTGAGCCGGCGGGGGGACATCCAGGGGACAGCCCCGGGGTTGTGTCACCCGTGTCCCAAAGCTCGGGCACAGCTCCGCTCCTTCCGTTTTTGCTCATTGCTCATTTTCCTGCTCTGCATCCCGGTGTGTGCCCAGCTCCTGGCAGGATGGGCAGCAGGGCACCCCCGTGGGCTGCCCGTGCCAGCGCTGGGCATCACCGGGATGTGGGATAACCTGGCAAATGCTGGATCCTGCCACCCTGGTAAATCTCTACCAATGCCACGTAGCCGAGGGATGTTGGTGTCCCCTCCTCTTTGGTTGGCTCCTCTTGGAGGGCTATGATGGAGACCCAGAGCCTGGGATACCCTTTGGAGGAGTGCAGGGGCTCCCCGAGTGCTGTGATGAACCTTTGGGCCAAGGTTTTTAGGGTACAGAAGCTCACCTGGGAAGCTGGCCTGGCTCTGAGAGCATCCCCGGTGCTGGATGTGGAGGCTTGGAGTGGTCCTGGCGGTGGGAGATGCCCCCAGCTCTGGGTATCTCCCTGGGTTGCTTTAGGAAACATCCCCTTTTGGCTTTTCTCCCCTTTTTTACGGCTTGTTTTGCACCTGGCATCTCATCCCCCGCCCCGATCTGAACGCACCTTATAACAGCAAATCCCTCGGGATGTGGAGAGGGGTCACCTGCCGGCACTGGCACGTCTTCCAGCGGTCCCTCCACGGCCCCCCGAGGGCGTGGGCACCCCTGGGAACACCCAGGGACACCCAGAGACCCCCCCGGGCACCCCCAGGAACACCCAGAGACTCCCCCCGGGCCCCCACCGCGCGCTCCGGCCCTTTTTAACCTTCTCAGTAGAGTCACCGACCGCGACACTCGGTGTAACACTCGGATCTGCCTGGAATAAAGGAATTCAAACGGAGCTGGAGTGTGCTCTGCGTGGAGTTCTGATGGGAAGGGTGATGTGGATGTGGGCATTTATGGGCTGGTTTTACAGGGGAGAAGCTGCCAGGGTTGGGGATTTCCCCTGAAGCACGAGGGGATGTGGGAAGGGGGTTTTCCCAACGGCAGGAATTATGGCATTTGTTTGTGTGTGTGTTTATAATTATACATTATACATATATGATCACAAAATATGTATAATGTTAAAACATACAATATATGGATAATTAATTATATGTGTAATATATTTCTAATCCAGTACACATAATAAAATATGTAAGTAAATGGATATATTTTAAAATGTGTAATTAGATATTATGTATAATATACCAAAAACATAAAATACCATATATATTATATATGCATATATATTATATAATATATATAAAATATATTTTATATATATCATATGCACAAATGTCTGAATATATTTTGTGCATATACACTCATAAATTATAAAATGTAAATTATAAACTAGAATATGCACATTATATACACATTTATGTGTATATATTTTGTTCACACATATATATACGTATAAGTATATATGTGTATCTGGTATATTTTGTATAAAATGGTTGTATTCGTGTGTGTATATTTTGTATTTATAAATAAGCATATAATATTATATATGAATATGTAATGTACCATAGGTATACACTATATATGTTTATCTATATATAAATATTATACACACATATAGACAAATACAATAATTTTATATAAAATATTACCTATTTTATATATAAATATATATTTATATTTTATATAAAATATTACATATTTTATATATTTTTATATAAAATATGTTAAGATGTTACTTTATATAAATATATAAAGTATTTTTAAAATTATTACAAGTGTCTTTTTCCCCAAAATTCCTGGAAGACATGGGAAGAACGCCCAACCTTTATCCCCCAAGACCCTCCCAACCCCCCCAAGTCCCTCATTCCTGGGGGGTCCCAGGAGTGCCTGGGGACCCGTGGGGGGTCCCTTCCCCAGCCCTGGGTGCCCCATGGCTTGGGGGGGGATCCCCGCAGGCAGGGGTTATTCCCGGGGGATCCGGAGGGAAGCGGAGCCATTTGGAACCTCTCCCGACATTCAATCCCCGGCGCAGGTGTGAAGCTGCCCGGCCCCGGAGCCGCCGCATACCTGTCATACCTGTGGCCACCCCTGTCATACCTGTGGCCACCCCTGTCATACCTGTGGCCACCCCGGTGGTGGCCCCAGGACCCCCGAGGGAGACCCCCCATCCTCACCTCCCCTGCACCCACCAAGCTCTCCCAGTTCCATCGTTCCCAGCCCTTCCCACTGACACCCATCCCACAAGATGGGAATGGGGACGGTCCCCTTGTCCCCCCCACCACGAGGCAACCAGAGCAGCTTCCAGCACATTTTGCCTTTTATTACCACGCGGGAACACACACTACAGCTGCTGATACCTACGACAGGGAACGCACGCACACGGGCACGGAGAGAACAGAATAAATTAAAATAAACCGTGTAATAAAAAAAAAAACAAAAAAAAACAACGATGAAACGACAACGGGGACGGGGGCGGGAGGGGGGGGGGAGAAAAGGTGAAAAATTATAATAAAAAGGAAAAATGAAGAAGGGGTCGGGCACACGGAGCTTTCTGGGCAGGACGTGCGGATTTGATCTGGCGGCTGACGGACGCCTTCCAGCGCGGAGGAGGACGCGCGGCCGCGTCCCGGGGCCGCCCCGGCAGCCTCCTCTTCCTCCTCCTCGGCTCGGCGGCGGCGGCGGGAGCTTCCCGAAAAGCACCTCCGAGGGATGCCCCGGGCGGCGGGGGGGACCGGGCGCCCCGAGGGAAGGCCGCGGGATGCGGCGGCGGCTTCGGCGACGTCCCTACAGTCCGTTGTTGGGTGGTGCCGCCGCCTGTGTCCCCCCTTCCTCCCCCGGGTTCCTCTCCATGGTGGCTGCACCAGGAGCCTGTCCCTGCCTTAGTCGTTGGAGGTGACGTCGATGTCTTCTCCGCTCGACTGCTTGGTGGCGAGGCGCCATCGGTTGATGTGGTGGGAGCCTTTCTTCTTCTGGTCCGAGTCGGGGCCTTCCTCCTCCAGCTTCTGCCGTTTGTATTTCGTCCGCCTGTTCTGGAACCACACTTTCACCTGGCAAAGAGGGAGACACGGGGCGCTCGTGGGGGGTCCTGGCACGGCTGGTCCGGTGCTGGGACCCAGGAGCAAGCTCGGTTTTCCTCAGGGACTGGCAACAAAGCGTTCCCTGTCCTTCCAGGAGCTCCTTCCAGGGGAGCTCCCGCAGCCACCCTGCCCGGCCTCAGTTTCCCGTGGAAAGGTGGGACAGCTGGGCAAAGGTGGTGGGGTGTAGGATGAGGGATGCTGCCACCTACCAGCTCCACTTCCCTGCACATTCCAGCCCTGGAGAAGCCCAGGTGGGAGAAGGACACTTGGTCACACCTCGGACACGGGGACAACGGGCACAGGGGACCCTCATGACAGCACCACGACCTGGAGCCCTTCCCCCTGGAGTCTGGGCTGGGCCTGGATCAGCACAGAATGGTGGGAGCAGCTAAACCCGGCCCCATTCCGGTCACAGGTGTCAAGATGCCACGGGCACAGTGGGATGACACCCAGTGACCACATGGGATGACACTCAAAGCCACCTCTATCCCTCCAGCCAGGACCATAATTACAATTATCGATCATGAATTTACCACATTTCGGTTTCAGGAAACCTTTTACACCCTGATGGTGGTCAAACACTGTCCCAGGAGCCTGGAGAGGCAGTGGGAGAGATCCATCCTCGGGGAGATGAATCCCTCCCTCCTCACCTGCCTGAGGCCCCCAGCATCCTGCTCTGATCCCAAATATCCTTGATGCCAGCGCTGGAAGCACGGGCTGGAGTGGAGGGTGGATGCAGCAGCATGGACATGGCAACATGGACAGAGGGATCCATTTGGGATGCTGGTCAGGGATGCTGCGGGCACCCGTGGGGCATGCCAGGCAGCCAGGGATGTGGGATGCTGCAGTGAGGGATGTGGGATGCCAGAGGCAGCAGTGTGGAATGCTGCTCCAGGGGTGAGGGGAGCTGATGGAAGTGGTGAGGAATATTACAGTCAGGGATGCAGGATGCTGCAGGTAGCAGTGCAAATGCTGCAGGCAGTGGTGAGGGGTGTGGGATGGTGGGGGCAGTGGGATCCCTGTGGGATGTGGGATGGTGCAGGCAGTGGTGTGGGATGCTGCATCTGGGGATGAGGGATGCTGTGGGCAGTGGTGAGGGATGCTGCAGGTGGGATGCAGGATGATGCATCCAGAGATGAGGGATGCTGCAGGAAGCAGTGTGGATGCCCCGGGCAGCAGTGCTGGATGCTACAGGAAGGGATGCAGGATGCTGCAGGCAGCTGTGCAGGATGCAGGGTGGCAGTGGTGTGGAATGCTGCAGGCAGGATACAGGATGCTGCAGGCAGTGGTGCAGGATGCAGGGTTCTGGATGGCAGTGGTGTGGGATGCTGCAGATGGGATCCAAGACGTTGCAGCCAGCGGTTTGGGATGCTGCAGGCAGTGGTGTGGGATGCAGGATACAGAATGGCAGTGGTGTGGGACGCTGTAGATGGGATCCAAACACTGCATCCAGTGGTTTGAGATGCTGCAGATGGGATCCCAAACGTTGCAGCCAGTGGCTTGGGATGCTGCAGGCAGTGGGGTGGGATGCAGGATACAGGATGGCAGTGGGGTGGGATGCAGGATACAGGATGGCAGTGGGGTGGGATGCAGGATACAGGATGGCAGTGGGGTGGGATGCAGGATACAGGATGACAGTGGTGTGGGATGCTGCAG